AAGGCAAAAAGTGTTAACATTAACAAGAATAAATATTTACTCAAATTATTTTCCTTTTATAAATTTATTTATATAACGAACTTAATTCAAATGAACTTTGATTTTATTCCGTTTCCATTTACTTCGTACATATTTATGCATAACTGTGGAAAATTCAACTGCCAACTCAAAAAAGAATATCATCAGTCCCTTTCAGGCTTCAAGTTCCATGAAAAGTGTAATTAATTCAGGAAATTAAACTGAATACAAATTATTAGTAATTTTAGTCAAAACAAAATTACTATGCTAATCTAATTATCCTTTACGAACATTAAAAGAACGGAAACAATTGTATTTTTCTTTAGAAAAATAATCCTTTGTTAATTGTATTAAAGGAGAAATTTGTTATTATGCATTATTTTAGAAGGTTTAATTAAAACTTTATTAATATCATGTAAAATCTAGTATAATATTAATTTTTATATTTTACTCTAAATAGTAGGTTTGCAATCGCTTCATTTTGAGATATGAAGTATTCAAAATTAAAATAGTATTAACTCAAAGTTTGGGCAAATCACAAAAATACACTTCTCAGCCGAATGGTATACAATGTACAATACATGTACATTTGAAAGTAGTCGAATGTTTTGATTAGTCCAAACGGGTTTTTTACAAACTAGGAGGTAAAAAACGTTACTCTGATTGGTGTATAGACTAGGCTGTAAAAATACTTTATAAATTATTTTTACAGCCTAGGCGATAATAAATCCTTTTAGTAGTAAGTTTTGATAATAATAGAGTTTAAATTATAGAACGCTTTTTTCTTAATAAGTTTGAAATTGTTTTATATATTTTTTAAATTTTATTAAGTGACAATTGGAATTACAAATATTTAAAACGGCCATTATCTTACGTTTTCATGACACTAAGTAATGTTTTTAAAACACATTGACAAGTTATGGCTTTATGACATTTTAGTCACGGGCTGAAGTTAGTTTTAAGATAGTTGACAGTTGTCAAATGTCATACAATCGTTAAAATAAAGTGCGCTTCTTGTAAAATAATAATATGGAAATTAATTTATTGTCTTAATTCACAAATAAATAGTATTAAATGGTTTCTCAACGCCAATACCTATTAAAAAAGTTTTTACTGACGTTTTAATTTTGCCGGCAGTAAACTATGTAGATTTAACGAAGAGCATTAAAAATTTCGGTTGAAGATTCCACCGTAAAGTGCCCATAAAACTTTCACTGTAAAAAACTGCTTCTATAACTATAAAAAAGTATAGTATGCAACTCGTTTATAAATTAAATTCGTGACTAAAATGGCGTTTATTAAATTTGATACATAATATACTATTGTTTTTAAGCGTTCTATAAGTTTTTTCTTAATATCTTTAAGGTAGTTGTCGTGGTACAATATTGTCAAAAATTTTTAGATTATACGCACCGTAAAAATATACGAGCTTGTAGCTAAGTGATTCATAATTTATTCGCAAGACTGTACCCTGGAAACGTTACCTTTACGTAATACTTTCAAAAATTTTCATAAGTTTTAATCCGGCAACGTCGCTTATGCTCAACCAATAGATATATTGGATACTTAATCAGTGTTTGAATTTACTGCGGAAATAATATCTATACTCGCGTACAGCGTTGCCAAGTTGTTTTTATCTGACACTAGTGATGTATACTTTTTACAAATTGTTGAACTTTAAACGGTTATTTATAAACAATTGGACGGTCAAAAATTTTTAATTATATTTTTTAAACTCAGCAAAAATACATTAAAAGACTGTTCGTTTTTTGAAAGCTTCTGACAGTTAGTTTTTTTGTTATAACTAAGAAACTGGTACAGAACTACAGAAAGCGTATACAATCCATGTTAATTATCCAATTTTTAATTGAATTTATCTCGGGTTATAGACGGTCAATCGACTTCAAATTTTAAGGATAATTGTATTGTCATGTCCTTAATATGTATACAAAAATTTAAAATTTTCTGATGGTATGCTTACAGCATGACAACTACCTTAAAACCGTTTTATTATTTTTATTTTATAATTTTCTTACGTGATTTGATTGGGTTCTATAATTATTATTATTGTCAACGCTTACTACCAAGTATTTGAATATTTCCTATTACCAATCAAAAAACTCGATAACTGCTGACAGCTCTGAAGCTATATAACCTTACTTTATACTTAATAAATGTTATTATAATTGTTAGTACATTTTATGTATCGTTTAACAATTAAAACTGTGCTTTGAAGATAAAATATTGTATGTCATTCGGCTGAGAAGTGTCTTTTTGTGCTTCGCTCAAACTTTGAGCTCCGCACAAAAAGACTTACTTCTTAACATAAATAGCTATTTTCTACAACCTTTAAAAAAAGTTGACATGATATGCGTTTGAAAAATTCGATAGCAGAATTCTATTACCAAGTGCAGTTTTTGGTTACTTTGTTGAATAGAATTGTTGAGCATTATTTAATTAAGCCTTTAGAAAGATAAAATGGACAAAATTATCGCCAGTTTCTTAAAGAGGATTCTTTAATCTGGGCATTTTGTATTCAGGCTCGTGAAATTTTTCACAAAAAATATTAAATCGTTGGACAGGTCGTGGGGAAACATAGCCATGGCCGCCTAGATTCACAGACCTTAACGGTTTGTATTTTTTCTGTGGGGAAATCTTAAGGTAATATTTTACAATTCTACAGGGTGTCCGGAAAAAGGAGGTCAATCCTTTAACCATATATTCCTTGAGTTAAAACAATAAGACTTTCATAATACCATTTTTCAATTTAGAGCTTCATGTTCGATATACAGGGCGACAAAGTTTGAAATTTAAAACAGATATTTTTTAATAATTCGAGTAATTAATAAGGTATTAAGTTCAAATTTGGTACACTATTTCAACATAAATAGTTACATCTTTTGAGATCAACAAAACAAAAAACAAATGTCAAATAATCAAAATAGGGGGGGTCCAGTACTCACTGACCCCCCCTATTTTTTAGTACGGGCGCCAGTGACTTCCAAACGGTATTTTTTCAGGTAATCATTTAGTGTTGAACATTTTTTGTCTCTTATAAAATTTTGATGAAATGATTTGTTTTAGAGATAATTTGTAAAGTATTGGTCCTTGATTGATGCCCACGCGGCTTATGGCAATCTCATAATTTTCAAATGTAGTACTGGACCACCCTATTTTGATTATTTGACAATTGTTTTTTGTTTTGTTGTCCTAAAAAGATGTAATAATTGTCAAATAATCAAAATAGGGTGGTCCAGTAGTACATTTGAAAATTATGAGATTGCCATAAGCCGCCTGGGCATCAATCAAGGACCAATACTTTACAAATTATCTCTAAAACAAATCATTTCATCAAATTTTTGTAGGAGACAAAAAATGTTTAACACTAAATGATTACCTGAAAAAATACCATTTGGAAGTCACTGGCGCCCGTACTAAAAAATAGGGGGGGTCAGTGAGTACTGGACCCCCCCTATTTTGATTATTTGACATTTGTTTTTTGTTTTGTTAATCTCAAAAGATGTAACTATTTATGTTGAAATAGTGTACCAAATTTGAACTTAATACCTTATTAATTACTCGAATTATTTAAAAAAATCTGTTTTAAATTTAAAACTTTGTCGCCCTGTATATCGAACATGAAGCTCTAAATTGAAAAATGGTATTATGAAAGTCTTATTGTTTTAACTCAAGGAATATATGGTTAAAGGATTGACCTCCTTTTTCCGGACACCCTGTATATACTTTTTTCTTTAATAAATACCTCAAATCCAACGGTGTAGGAGTTTATTTTGGGACTCATTGGCGGCCTTAGAAATTAAATAACTCTCGCAACTGCGAATTCGAAAAAAATGGTAATGGAAAATTTGGGCCGCCCTGTATACACAACCATCCATCATTTTATTCTTATTTGAGATTATGACATAATTATTATGTTAACAATAATATTATGTTAACAATAGTTATTTGGTATTTTTTTAGATTTAATAGTCGTACTGACTTCCATTTTAATCAGAAAAGTTAAGTAGTCGATAGAACTACTAGAACAAAAATAAGAAGATACAGGGTGGTAAAGTCATTCAAAAAATATTTATTTTTTTAAATGTCATAAACTTCTTGGACTTTTTTGGACTTTAGGAGAAGGGCTTAATTTTATGTTTAATATTAAGTAATTAAAAATACAACTTTTTTGTCTCTTGCAGTTTTTCTTCTTATTTAAATTTCAAGAAAAAATTAGTCAGGAGCGGATAAACAAATGTAATTTTTTTTCTTAAAAATTAAGCAAGATAGAGAAAAACTGCAAACTATTTTTAATTGCTTAATATAAATATTATTCGGGATTATGAAATAATTATTATGTAAACAATAGTTATTTTGGTATTGTTTTAGATTTAATAGTCTGCATTTTAAAATGCTTTAAACATTTTAATCGGAAAATTTAACAGTCAATATAACTCGCAAAAATAAGAAAAAACATAAAGTTGTATGCTTTAAAACTCAATTTTCAAGATACAGTTAATAAAAAAGTATTGTCACGCCACTGCTTTTTTATAAGTTTGATATTATATTCTTCTTACTTTTGCGAGTTCTATTGACTGTTAAATTTTCCCGATTAAAATTTAATACGTACATTAAAATTTTTAAAGCATATTTGAAGTCAGTATGATTTTTAAATCTAAAAAAATACCACTTACAAAAAATAACTATTGTTGACATAATAATTATGTCATAATCCAGAATAAGAATAAAATGGTAGTTAAATAGTATTTATATTTTATTTATTATTGTGCAGCATATTCGAAAAACCCTTTATAAGGATTTTATGGAACACTTAAAAGGTTTTAATCCTTGTTTATGCCAGGGCATGCCCTATTACAAAAATGTGAAAGGATTTCCCAAGAAATTTGTACAAAAGGCAAGATAAAAGGATTAAATTTTCTGTACCATGTTAATTTATGTTTTAATTAAGAAAATGGAGAAAATAATTTTAATAACATGGTTTATTAGTTTTATGTGTAATAATACGTTATAGCTACTACATATATTATACTTCATTTTAATTTTATTTACTTTCTTCAGGCAAGTTGTACAGACCACATACTTTGTTCGCTGGGAGGGCTTTGTCTGAAACAAAGAAAACAACATAATTCATATTTGGCTTAAAGTTATAAAACAACAAAAACAAAAAAAACCTTTTAAGTTTACAAATATTATTACACTACGAAATCTTAAGGGCGATAAAAAATGATTTATAACAAGTTTTAATCAATAAAGGCTAAAAATAAAATATATTATAAACATGATTTTTGCTATTTTTAAATGCTTTGTTTAAAAATAAGTTTGTATTACTATTATAAGGTTTACACAGTGTTAAATTTTGTATCGGTTTGCTTTTAAATTAATTCTGTCCTATATTATCTTAGATAATTTTTCTACTTAAACCTTTAAAACTTGGTGCATGTCACCATGGCACTAAGTGACGTTTTAAATACACAAGTTGTGTCTTAATGGCGTTTTAGTCATGCGTTGAAGCTAGCAGCAGGTTTTTTAGTCACGTGCTGAAGTTAGTATTAAGTTAGTTGACAGCTGTCAAATGTCATACAATCGATAAATAAAGTTCCCTTTCATTTTTAGATTATAATAAGTATTTGTTGTAAAAAAGTATAGTATGCAACTTTATATAACACTCGTTTAATTAAACACTGGCTTACAAGCTCGCTCGTGCCTAATTAAAATTTGTGACCAAAATGGCGTTTATAAAACTTTATATATATACATATACTTATACTATTCCTCATCAACTATCCGTGAGTTTAGGGCGTTTTAGTCAGTTGCTTTCGTGCTTTTCAGTCATGGTTCGAAGATAGCTTTATTAAAAAGTGAGGATCAATTCATCTGACAGTTGTCAGAGGTCATATGTATAGGAAATAAAATTGGCTTTAAATAATATTTTATGTCCGTTGTAGATAATAGAATATTAATGTCATAAGACCTCATTTTTTTAAACAAGTGCGAGAAAATGTCTTGGCATGACATGAGTTCTTATTTAACGCATTTGTTAAAATTTTAAGAAAAATTCGAATTATAAATTACATTTGCCTATAGTATTGCTGCCATGTATCGTTCTGTTGCCATGGAGACCGTACGAAACGCAAATGCGTATCGTACTGTGCTTATTATGTATAGTATAGTATACAAATATAAAAATGTTAGTGCGCAACTCGTTTATAAAGTTTTTGTGACTAAAATGCCGTTTATCTAACCTGATACATAATATAATATTATCTATCTACTTCCTACATTTAATTTACTAGTGTACTAAGTTTCCTAATGCACTTGTGCATAAAATTGGGAACAAGTGAGGTTTAAACCGTTTGACATATGTCAGATTTAAAAAAAGTGAGTTTAAAATCGCTTGACAGTTTTTAGATAAAACGTCAAATTAAATTGACTTTTTTTTGCATTCTTAAAAGAAAATAGCATACTTTATTACGAGAAGATCGTAAAGAACAGTAATAGTTTTATGGTTAGCAACATGATACAAAGAACGCTGTGACTAGAGGCACGCTAACGTGCCGCAATTTGAAATGTTAAAGGCACGTTAGTTACGTCATAAACCCAAACCATCCCAAACTCAACAACACAACCCAACCGACCCCGCCCCATTGGCCCCCCCGCCCCATTGAACAAAAAACCCAACTAAAATGGGCAAATTTATGTTACGATAAAAATAAAACACTTTTTAACAAGGGAACAACAAATTTATGAAATAAAAAAAGTTCGACAACTTCTAGTAGATTTTATGTTACGATAAAACTAAAACAAAGCAACCCAACCCAACCAAACACTGTTTAACAAAGAAACAACAAATTTATGAAATAAAAAAATAAAAAAAATTTGACAACTTCTTAATATCGAACCCGGGACCTCTCGCATGCCCAGCGAACGCCCTACCATATTAGCTATCTAGCTTGATGTCAAATATTAAACGTTCGGGGAACAAAAACGGATTATAATTATGACGTAACTAACGTGCCTTTAATATTTTCAATCGCGGTACGTTAGCGTGCCTCTAGTCACTGTGTACAAAGAAACCTTGTAGTATTTATGGTTATGGTGTTGAAGCGACTATAAAGATATATGATAAGTTTTATTTTATTAATTAATACAGTAATTCAAATCAAAACTACATTAGTGAAAATGTCTTTTGAGTATCCAGTTAATCATGTTTTATTCACTCTTTGTGGTTATCGATTCTAATAATCCACAACAAAATATTGTGGAACTAATAGCAAAATCGTCAATCACTTCAACCATTCATCGATTTTGTGTGGCAATATTAAACAGTCAAACATCAAACGGCCATAACTTTTGAAGCTAAACTTTAAATTCAAACCGCGTCCAGGTAACTTTTGTATTGTGTTATTAAACGATTTTATTTAGCTGCAATCCTGCCCGACAATCAAATCTTGTATTTGAATTTTAACTTCTATCAATTATCCTATCAAGCAAACCTTAACTTGGGTACCATAATATTGCATTGTCATCTGTATTATACACTATTGGACAAAAGTAAAACAACAAACTGAAAAAATGATATTTTATTTTGTGCATATTTGAAACTGAAATTCCCAGTTTAATAGTAATAATTGAGGCCTAAGTTATGAGCGGCCATTAAGACAAGTTTGTTGTTATGTGTTTCTTTGAACATTTTAATTTTTGTTTCGGACAAAAGTAATGCAACATCAATTCAATGTCCAAAAATAGTTTTAAAAACAAAGAACACCAACGTTTTGTTAAATTACTAACAGTTTATTTAACTAAACTTTTAATAATTTATGGCATAACCATTATTTTTTATGAACATCTTCGCAAGATTTACTTTTGAATAACGCCTGCTTGTATAACTCCAAACAGCGTTATCCTTTACATTCATCTAAATTAGGCCTCTTATACGCCTTTCAAACTGTTCCCATAGATTTTCTATTAGGTTTAGGTCAGGTGATTGGACAGTTAACCACTACGTAACAACTCGCCACTTGCCTTGTTGAAAAATAAATCGTTGGATCCTTTCCCTTTCAGAACATATACATATATTAGACTGGGCCAAAATTCAACTATTTTTTTTTAAGTACTTATATCGAAAATATGATTTGGGGTGACACAAAAAAAATATTGTGAAAGTTCTATCATGGAACAGTAAAATAGTAGATTATGTCATATTATGACATAATCTACTATCCTTAAAGGAGTAGAAGTGGCTCTTTTTGTGGTGAGTACAGAGATTGACGGCCTAAGCGTAGCTGAGGCAGGGAAATGTACGAAGCACAAAAAGAGCTTCTACTCCAAATAACATATACCATTTTTTTTTCAAGGGCGTAATATAAATAGGATAAGCAATAGAATTATTTTATTTACTTATAACTCATGTGGTATAAAATTTTGGCTAAAAGCATTGAGCATTGATAAGAAGCATTGATAAGAACTAAAAAACTTATAACCCTTACTTACAATGCCGATAAATATCCTAAACTAAAAATAAACACTGCTCTGTCAAAATGCTGCGCTTGAATTAATTTTGACGTACTGACATTTGTTTGGAGTTCCGACATTGGCGAGTCGTCTATCATCATAATATTATACTAATAAACTAGTTGTTCTTTATTTCGTTCAATTAAAATTTAATAAATAATCACTAAATATTCCGTGCGATTATAATTAATATAATTAATACATCGTGATTGCTTTGTATGAAATGCTAAATTAATTTTATTATTTGACGTCTATTGAGTCACCTATGGATTTACTTCTATACCTAGGCTTTTTTGAGTTTTTTGTCTGCCGCTAATGAAAAAGACGTACTTCAACTATCTCTATACATGCATATAAGGTTGTATATCATGGCCGCTTGAAAAAAAATAATATTTTCTAAAGAAAATAGCTTCTTAAAGCGAAAAAATTCGAATGAGTTATTTTTTTAATTTTCAGTAATTTTTTCAATAAGATAAAGTTTATCATCGATAAAAGAATTCAAGTTTTTAACTGACCCAAAAAAAATCTAGAGAGGAAAAAACAAGAATTTCGTTTTGACTTCAAATTTAACCTTGAATAACTTTGGATGGAGTGAGTTAGCCAAAAATGTTAGGAGACTTTTTTTGTAGAGCATTTGATTTTCCGGTTTTTTTTCCGGGTACTGATTTTTACATGAATTACAAAATTCCAAAGTTAAAAGATCAAATTGTTAAACTATACCAATTTTTAAGGCATGATTGTAAGAAAACGGTTCATCTGACGGGAAATTCAACTGACGGGAAATTATTTTTTGTAGAGCATTCAATTTTCTTTAAAAAAATATTCTTAAGTCAATTTTGTTAAACTCAATGGTTTGCGAGTTCTGAGACAAAAACTCGCTCAGGAAAAAAAATCTAAAATTAATATTATGGACTCAAACTTTCACCATTTTTTTTGTCACTCCAAACAATATTTTTTATATACTTTACAAAAAAAAAAAGTCGATTTTTTTGGCCCAGTCTAATATATATTTATTATATTATTTATATATTATATATTATATATTATATATTATATATTATATATTATATATTATATATTATATATTATATATTATATATTATATATTATATATTATATATTATATATTATATATTATATATTATATATTATATATTATATATTATATATTATATATTATATATTATATATTATATATTATATATTATATATTATATATTATACAGGGTTGGCTACAGCAGACCTCAATTTGTCGTGCCCGCGAATGTATCAGAGTTCACGGAACCTATGTTGAACCCTCTTATAAAGTTTTTAAATCATTGTTTCCAATTATCGTCCTTCAATTTAAGGTTTGCAACAATACGTTATATTATTTTTTTATGGTCCTTTTTATTAAAAATAAACGTGAATTTGTTTATTATTCTTTTTCTCGAAACGGTTCATTTTATTGACAATAAACAGGAGTACCTTTATTTTAGTTTAAGGTTCAAGCTTTGCAGATTTAGTTTTTTAAGTCTTTGTTATACGGGGTGTTCAAAATTTAAGCATTAAGAAGTAAAACTTAGTCCGCCCCTGGTAAACAAAAAAAGCAA